GGCAAACATTGTTAGAAGCTTTGTCGCGTCCCACCGCCTCCCCCCCGGCGCGACGCCTCAACATGTGGTGACATTTCGTAAAACCGACGGGGTTTTCATTAGACAATTGCAGCCTGCACCGGCCACCGCGCCGCCTTTCCGCTGGTTGGTTATCCGTGGGGTTGGTTGGTTATATCATATTTAACCCTGTTGCTCTGCCGTACCCCGCCCTGCGTTGGCCCCCCGCCGCCCGCTTGGCCACAAGTCCGCCGCGCCTGCGACCTCAGGCCGGACCTGAGACACCGTGCTGACATCACGCCCCCGCCCCCGGCCTCCGCAGGCACCTGAATACAGAGCACCGGCTTGATGACCGATCGACGGCGCACGTGCGCGTCCAGATGCAGGTGGTGCAGCAGATGGAGACCAACTTGGCCAAGGAAAAGGCACGCCTTTCGGCCATGATGGCGCATCTCCACATGACACGCGAGCGTATGGAGGAGGTGAAGACAGACCCGCCGGTGAGCCCACACGCCCCCAGGGTACCAACTATTGCATGCATGCATCTATTTTAGGATATGTGCCGCCCCTTTTGGATAACGAGGCAGCGCTTCGCGTCGGATGCCGGAGATCCATGCGCTAGCGATAACAATGGCTTTTTTGCTTTTCATGGCAGACGCTTTCCATTTCTACAAGTTGGGGAGAGGGTACGTGCGCACCTAGCTACCGCGTACCTGCTGGCTGCGCTCACCGGACCGGACCCTTCACAGATGGCGCCGAGCTTACCGCAGGTGAGCGCGGCCATGTTCCCGACGACGACGCCGCCCAGTCAGCTGCTGTCGGGCAATCCGTTCCTGCGCACGGCCATGCTGCACGCACCTGCGCGCGCCAGCATCGGGCCCAGCCGGCGCCGCGTCAACGACAAGCCCATGACCCCAGTGAGTACCGACACCTCGGTCACCTGTGGAGACGCGCCGACGGGTGCGGCAAGGAATTTTTACCCGCTATATGTTTTGGTCACATTTATTTCGTGTTGACTTTGGACCGGCACGGCGTTTGTTACACTTAAACGATCAAGTCACGCCGCTCGGCGATCAGTGCTGGCGGCGTCAGCCGGGGCGGGCTGCCGTGACGCGCACCACACGGCTGTCGTCCCCCCCACTGCAGCCTGGCTGAGCCTGATGCCGCTCCTTTCCCACTGTAGCCGGCTGCCGCCACCGGCCGTGTGCCGCCCACGCAAGCTGCTCTTTGTTGTGCTGTTGTCTGTCCGCCTGTTTTTCTTGGAGCCTCTCTAAGTCCCGGAAAATTCGTGTGCTTGTGGATCAATACTCTCGATCGGTGCGGCGCTTATCTGATACCTTGTTGTGCCCGCGACGAGTGCATGCAAACAGGCCCACCGCATTACTGCCCCTACTTGCGCGATTATTATGAACTCGGAAAGCTAAACTCATTACTATCCGGGCGGTCGTGCATATTTAATGCTGCCGCCCAGGCGGGCTGCAAAACACGCTCCTGTGTTTTGGCCGTATGCCGGAACAAAACACAACACAAAGACTGATGCATACTGCCCGACCGGCTGAATTATGATTTTTAAGTAAACATGCACTCTGGCGGGAATAACACGGACGTCAGGCAATGTCTGCGCACGAATAACACAAACAGCAGGCTGCTGAAAGCGTGGCCGGACTGGAGAGCCCGCGTCAAGCCCGCCCCGCTGTCGAGAATGGTTTAGCAACACTGCACTGCACTGTTTTGCGGTGGTAGCTGCTTTAATTGAATTGGCCGGTGCTCGCCGAGCTGCACGACTGCACTGGATATTGATTTAAACACGATCTCCCATGTACGCGTTCAACCCCGTCGTTCCGCGCACCAAATGCTGGCAACTTTACGCGCTACTCGGCATGGAGTCGGCTTCCGCCTCTCGTAAGGCAATCCCTGCACTGGAGCAGCTGAGCTGCTGCTTCAGCGGCCGGCCCCAGTGCGTGCCAGCGCATGCTAAGAGTCGCCGCGGCTGGCGGCCCCGCGCGGCTGCGCGCCGCGCGGCGCCGGCTCCGCCCGCTCAGGCGTGCGTCCCGCCCGCCCTCTGCCCGCGCTCGCTCGCGCCCTCTCTCCGCGCGCTATGACGCACTGTTTTGACGACCGGGCCGTATTGATTTGTTGTTGTGTGCTCTTTGTTTGCTGAAAATAGCCTAACAAGTAGGCGGCAGGCAGCGCGCGGCGGCGGCGCGGCGGGCAGGCAGTCAGACCAGGACCCTGCTGTGTGTCGTCTTCCTGGAGGCGTCGCGGATTGGTCGCTGTGCCGGAGAGAGGTAACGCGGTCAGCTGGGGCACCAAGTCACGATGGTAGCCGTCCCCTGGTCGGAGGCGGACCGGGGGATCAGTTCAGCTCGGGCCGGCGATCATTTGTCGGGGTGAAGATGGCAAAGGCGGTGGCCGGAGGACCGGAATTCGGTCGGGCTTGATGCGCCCGGTCTCACACCCCGCCTGCCGGATCGCATCGCATTGAAGCGCTCCGGCAATCCCTGCGGGGCCACAACTTAGCCATGGTATTCACGGCGTGAGTTACGTTCCAGGCGTGTATGAAAGTGCAATGCTTTCTACTATGTTCACCACGTGTGTGTGCCTCCCAGCAATTAAGCAGAAGCACTTAAGCTTAGCTGCGGGTAAGCGGGGGCAGGTTGAATGTGCCGGCTTGCAGGTGAGGGTGAGGCACGTTGATACGAATTTTGCTGTAATCGCCAATGCTCGGTTTTAGTTACACCTGTCTTATTTTAAATGGTGTCACCCTCAAGGCGTGACAACCCAAAGGAAATCTTACCAGCTTTTAGCCATGACAACCTTTTTGCTACGCCTCTCAATGTGAAATGGGGGAGAGCGAAATGCACAGTTAAGTGTTGTTTATCAAGAAGTCCCTTAAACCAGGCACGCTACACTGCGCGGGTCTGGTTGTTACGCTCCGTCCAGAAGTCAAAAGAAATTGTAAAACACAGCATATATATTTTTAGAAAAAGGAAAATGAAGTCGCTTCAAAACCGAGAACAATAATGAAGTGCTCCGCACAGCCATAGCCGAGAAAGGCAACGACAGTTGTTGATAGCTGCATTGGCACGACTCCTCTTCTCCATTCCCGCTCTCATCACGACAAAAATTACACCAACACCCAGTCGGTCGGCTTCTATATCGGCACACAGTGCACATGCCTCTTTCCTGCATCTTTGGCATTCAATCCACTGCTCACATGAGTAGGAATATCTCACGCTGCATAAAAAACAAAAGGTGTCCATGCTCCTTTTTAAGTCGCTGTCCTCCCAGCATTTTGCATTTTGACCTTCTGATTTTCTTCCTTCCCTTCGCCGATTTCATGTCATACTCGTCAAGCTTGTCTCGAAGGGGAGTGTCTGTCAAAATTCCAAACCTTCTCTTTTTTCCCCTGATGCTGGCTTCTGCGTTCGTGGCTGCACTTTTGGGAAGGACTTGATTGCCTCCGGTGTGATAACAATGCCGGAAGTCCCTGGCCGATCGCCGATCGATGCCGGCTGCTGAAGTCGCCGACGACGCCGACGTGCATCTTGTGCTGTAGAGCCCTCTGCTCCGCCGGACAATGTCAGACCAGAGCCTGTCGGCGCTTCACCGGACGCGGTCTGCCCAGAACCTGTCGGCGCTCCGCTGGGCGCTAGGTGACCAGACCGTGTTGGCATTACCCTCGGCGCGAGCCGACCAGAGCCAGTCGGTGCTCCACTGGGCGCTAGGTGACCAGAGCCTGTTGGCATTACGCTCGGCGCGAGCCGAACAGAACCTGTCGGCGCTCCACTGGGCGCTAGGTGACCAAAGCCTGTTGGCATTACGCTCGGCGCGAGCCGAACAGAACCTGTCGGCGCTCCGCTGGACGCTAGGTGGCCAGAGCCTGTTGGCATGACGTTCGGCACGAGCCGAACAGAACCTGTCGGCGCTCCACTGGGCGCTAGGTGACCAGACCCTGTTGGCATTACGCTCGGCGCGAGCCGACCAGAGCCTGTCGGCGCTCCGCTGGGTGCTCTGCTGCGGCGGTGGACATCGAGTGGTACGCAGCGAACCGGAGCAGCTGAAAGATTACCGGGAGGTGCTCTCGGTCGCAGTGCTTCATCACATCGTTGAACGACGCTGCTGTGCTCCCCTTTTTCTCTACGTCAGCCGCTACAGCTTCAGCTCCGCTTCAGCCTGTCGGAGTGAGGAACCTTGCAGCAGCAGATCGTAGACGTCATGCAAGCTTCTGAGCTAGCTTCAGTCCTAATCTTTGGACGGTTTCCTGCCCGGCAGTATGTCTTGGAACTGTTTCCTGCTCGGCAGCATGTCTTGGAACTTCGAACTCGGCAGCCTGTCTTGGAACTGATCGCTGCTCGGCTGCTGAGCTCCATGGCCCTCTTCTCGCAAATTGCGAAAAGGGCTTGCGAGATGAGGTCGTCGAAGCAGAATCGTATGTAAGATTAGTACGCTTTCGGGATGTTTAACTACTGCACCTACTGCTTAATGTATTGGCGTGCCTACATACCTACCCACATATCTACCAAATTATGGCGTATGCCACAACGGATGTAGACACTAGAACGCATCGTAAACGGACGGGAACGTTTTATCACTACGGTTGTGTTGCGCGGCTGCTGCCATTCGTTTGCGATGCTAGGATTCCCGCCAATATCCACGGGACGAGAAAACAGTATAAATATTTTTTCCGAAATGACGAAAAAGACTGAATCGAATGAATGCATTTTTGTATATTTTGCGCCGTAATATGACCTATGCAGTCAGTGCATCCAAAAACCCCATCCAAATTTCCGATTAAAGCGGTGCGCTCTTATATTGTTCTCATCTTATTTCACCTAAAAGCGGCCTCTGTGCTGCAACTCTCTGCAGCGACTGATCACTCTCCAGAAGCACACACCAGTTGGTTGCTAAGGCAACACTCATGCACATAATCGGTTGACGAGGCCTCTCGTGGTTTGGTTCAGCGGCGGCGGGCTCTATATCAACACGCCCTAGGTATCAAAATGCTCCGCTGCCTCCCACGGTACGTTATGCCGGACGGCTCGAGTTTTGATTTATTAACATGACTCCTTTTTGTCCAGACATAGCTGTTCGAGGTTTGCAGTTTTATGTGATATCCCAGTGGTGCAAGATTGAAGGTGTCGACCTGCCCGGCAGCGTCAGTGTACTCCTTATACTACAGGTCGAAAACGCAATCGTTCGGTACTCCTTACTTATAAATATATTGCGAAGTCCATAGGCGGTTCTTGATCGCTCACTTCCTGGACATTTACACTTTGCCGGCAGTGAGGGCCAGGCTCCCGAGCCGCTGTATCCTCTCGCGTGCTTTGTCCGGCCAGGGCGGGATAGTTCACCGGCGCGTCGGCGGGCCGCGGTACAGCGCCGCCACTGTCGGCGGCCCCGGCCGGCCGTGACGTCACAGCCGCTGGGGGCGCCCGGGGGCCGTAGCCCGCGGCGCCTGCCATGAGTCGGCTCGCTGCCCCCCGCGGCCGGCTCAATAATTGAACAGCGGGCGGCGCGTTGACCGCCGCCGCCGCGTAACGGCGGGTAAACACAAACTGCGCCGCGGCACGACTGTGCGCTGGCCGCTGCAGTCGCCGGGAGGGGGGGGGGGGGGGCACGCGTGGCCACCCACCGCCTGCGATCGCACGGGGGGGGGGGAGCTTTTGCTTCTGGTCAGGTCGATTGAGTAGTTCGAGGGAGATCCGTACCTTCTCCGAGAGGAAAATGGTGGGTGTCTGAACTGCTTTGATCCACGTACTGATTTGCTCGTCATCCGTTTGGCCTTGGTTTTGTTCGCTGTTTTCTCAAAGCCGAGCGTCACGGATGTACTGCGTCCGCGTTAGCGCCCGTCATTACTTGGCTCGGCTTCAAGGAAGCAAAGTCCACATGTTGGCTCTTGTTTGTGTGTGTCGAGAGCATTGTGAAATCTGCGTTTGGACGATTTTAAGATAGTTTTCTAATCAAGACACTGCATCTGAATACATTCCATAAAAACAACCTTTCCTTTACCGTGGCTTATCTTCATTTTTGTGGGAGCACATATATTGTGCCTTGTATGTTGTACAAGTGTAGTTATTAATGGTTTGCGTCAATTTTTACTGATGTTGCTTTGCAACTTGATACGGCCTCATCCCCTACCGTTCGCCGGCAGCCTGAAGGCAAATTACACTACAAATAGAACAGCAGGGGGCACCTAGCATCATTTCTAAGGCGAGGTAACATGTCTGTAATGTGGCAAACCACAGCTAGCATTACCCAATGCGAAAACTATTGATTTGCTCGCCTCCAGCTTCCAAAGCATTCTATTCCCTCACCTATTTCGTTGCATAATTCGGTGAAGCATGTGACTGTAGCGCAATCACACGCTTATGTTTTTACACTGCGCTGAAGTTATTACATCTCGCTGGTGATGCCTGAGTCCGGACGATTCTCCATAGACGGTAGCGAACCATAAGCCGAGTTTTTGGGGTGGGGCTGAGGCGACCAGCTCGTTTACCCGGCGCCATGCGGCGACGGCGCGCAGCGCAGTTGCGTGTGTGAGGCTTGGCTGACCTTCGCAGCACCTTCCCGTAGCGTGTAGTCGCGCCGGCGTACCGTGCGACCGGAGTGACAAACGGGTTGCATGCCCCACGCCGCTTGCAGTCCGCCATTTGAATGTGTACGGACCGTCGCCATACCTACGGCGCGCGCCGCGAACCTGCGTCCGCCAGCTGTACGTACAGGGTGCGGCGAGGGAAGGGGAGGCAGACTGTCGCTTTGGTCAATAGCAAATACAGGAGTGAGACTGTTTTTCGTCTAAGGGGATGTTTTCTTGTCCTAATGAGTGTTTTGCGTGAATCACCTCGCTTAGTCCCTGATTAAAAGGCGGAATCATTGCTAAGCGCATTTTAGCTCTGTATTGTGGAGTTTAACGACCGGTACAAAACAGCAGATAAGATTCACAACAAAAATAGTGAGTTAAACAAGCGGCAGGTGCTGTTTGGCCTGTAGATACTAAATTGGTTTGATTGTATCTGTTGTGTGTGAAGGAAATTAGGAGCTGTTTTCGGTTGTTGTCAAATCAGATTCGCATGTTTTTCCTTTTGAAGTGAGCGTTGAACAAAGGCCTTTTTACGCTTATACTTACCCTTCGTTCGCCTGCAGCCCGCTTGTTCAGGCTGATAGGCGCGCAGCACCTTACAAGGATGGGAGATTACAAGAACACAGCCTTACCCGTTTCTTGCTTTATAAAACATAGACATCAGGTCACACGCTGCCCTGTTCTGCCGTCCATCCCAGTTTTCGCGGTCAATCAGTCGATCGGATTGAAAAGTTTGATTTGTCAGCAATGAAAAAGGCAGTGAGTGGTGACAGTTCTCTCCATGCCGTTTATGTAATAGTTCCATAATTACGGCGGTCTTTTATTTTGGCTTTATGGCGAATAAGCGTATTATAGCACTATGTAAAAACGTGGCACGCGAAAGTTCCCATATGATGGATGCAGCACTGCGCAGAGCCAGCTGGCGGCGGCACGTGGATTGAAAAGCTGCTGGCTGCCGCAGGACCCGGCGGCCTGTCTTGGTGCGCTCGGGGTGTGGCGGCGGGTGTGGCCCGCGGCCTGTCTTGGTGTGCTCGGGGTGTGGCGGCGGGTGTGGCCCGCGGCCTGTCTTGGTGTGCTCGGGGTGTGGCGGCGGGTGTGGCCCGCGGCCTGTCTTGGTGTTCTCGGGGTGTGGCGGCGGGTGTGGCCCGCGGCCTGTCTTGGTGTGCTCGGGGTGTGGTGACGGGTGTGGCCCGCGCGGCCGTGGGCTGACGGACGGCGCCGTGTCTGCCCCAGGTCCGTACGAGGAGTCACCGGCGCAGAGGCGGCGAGCCGCCGAACGCTCCGGTCAGGACATCACAGAAGGTCAGTCTCGGCCTCGACCTGGCGGTGGGGCTCTGCTGAACGCCGATGGTCGCCTCGAGCTACGGTCCTTCCGTGCCTATCGGGTCGGTGGGACACCACCAATGCGTACCGTGGCGCGCAGCCCGTGCCTGTCGTACCAGCGGGGGACTGCCCGCGCGTGCCGTGGCGCACGGCTCGTGCCTGCCGGAGCGATGGGGGGGCCAGTGCGTACTGTAGCTCACGGGCTCTTGAAATGGCCCTCGGGTAACAGCTCGTCACAGGCCGTCTTTCCCGGGCGCGTACGAGATTGCGAATTTCAATCGGGATGTGTGATGAAGGGGAAATGAAGATCCACGCCCTCGGGGAACTCGCAGAGAATCAACACACCGAGCAAATGAAAGAGTTCGCGATTAGTTAAATTTGTGTTTGCTCGTTAGATAGTTTTTCATCCTGGCCCTCAGAAAACTTAAAATGTTATTCATGCAGTCGTCTTTTTATCCGTGGGGAATAAGCTGTGTGGTGTGTCCCAAGGAGACAAGATGGACAAATGTTTTTTGGTAATGTAAAGCGAGCAGAAAATGAAAGTACCGTAGTGCAGGCGCTGTTGAATAAGCAACGAGATCGTTTATATCAAGCTAATTTGCTTCTGCTGTCCTCGAGTGGTGAACTCAGGCAATCAGGACATTCTCAAGGGATGACCGTAATTCATCGTCAAGCGACAATAACTAAGTAATCGCCCTTCTCGAACTTAATAGCATTTCCTGCTCGCGAGCCTTAAATGACATAGTCATCTCCTTTTGATTAAAAATCTGGATGCGTGAACAAAAATCAGGACAAACAGAAAGAAGTTCCACGGGAAGGAAAAGTTTAGAAGGGATTATGCAAATGAGACGGCGAAATAAATTGTTTTACAACATTTAGCATTCTTCCGTATCATCCATCGCGATGCCACTCGCCGGTTTTGCTCGAAAGGAAAAATAGTGGCACGCATCCGTAATTCCCGGATGTTGTGAGACCGTTTGTCGTCGCGCTTTCCCCTGGCCCCGACTGAACGTGAGGCAATGCGCGTCGACTCACGCCGCGGTCCACGGGTCGGGTCGAGGCCGGTGTCACGTAACCCGGTGGGGAGCGACAGCGGGCTGGACGCCGGCCTGGGGACTGACGCTGGTGCTGCGACTCTTCCAGAGCTCGGTCGTAACCGCGACTTCTACCGCAGCACGGACATCCGGCCGCCGTTCACGTACGCCTCGCTGATCCGCCAGGTGAGGCCGACGCGGCAGGGCTGGCGTCGCGACGCGCCGGTTTGCTTGCTTTGTGAGTTGCGACAACAGTTAGCGGTCAGACGTTGCCATCGCGGAAACGACGCGACTCGCAATCTGCTGAAGAGGCTCGCAGCTACTTAACGTTCGAAGGAGCATGCAATTACCTTAAGGCCAAAGCATGGTATTCCCATATTCCTTGCAACCTGCTCCATTGACGAAACACTTTCCCGTCAAGGGACTATCACAGACGCAACAGGAAAGATACACCCATGAAGCCACTCTGACTGAATCTTGCAGAGACACGTACAATTGTAGTATGTTGATTGGTCCCAGTCACTTCACGGTCCATTACAAATATAACGCCGGCCGTCTGTAAGATTTGCACCTGTGTGTGGCGTTGTTCCAGGCGATTGTGGAGTCACCGGACAAGCAGCTGACGCTGAACGAGATCTATAGCTGGTTCCAGAACACGTTCGCCTATTTCCGCCGCAACGCGGCCACCTGGAAGGTGAGGCTCTGTCCGGGCTGGAGGACCGGCGGCAAGTCACTGCACTGGACCGCCGGGGGCCGGCAACAGCCACGTCACGTCAGGACGCTGTTGCTCGCATTGTGGTCAGGAATTATCGGGTCGGTTACTGAGCGAAGCACTTTGAGGTGGTAACGATCTGCGGTCGCTCGCATAGAGCAGCATTTGCCGCGCTGTGTGTGTGTGTGTGTGTGTGTGTTCGCGTTTATTGATTCACCGACTGCCTATGACGTTTATTTTGCCGAGGGAAGTCGCTTGGCTCTGTCAACAGCCGTCGACTACTGGCCATTGGACCTGGCTGCCGATTCTCTCCTTGTTTGCAGATGTGTATGCGTGCGTGTGTGTTTTCTGTTGGGTCTAATATAAATGCTAATCGTTCAGTTATGAATCGCGCATTTTCATTCGGGAAATTGTGCATTGCATTGATAATTGTTTGGCCTGTAGTTGTCGGAATGGTGGCTCCGCTTTGAAAACAGAGCACCCGCCACCAAACTGGCGAACAAAGCATGAGCAGTTGGAATGGAAGGGATGTCACAGCGTCGCGCTTAGAGAGCTAGTAGCCGACGTTAGGAGTGTCGTGGGTGGCCTTACATAGCATCCCAGTGGCGTCCCCAGCAGAACTCGTGTCAGACATTGTTGAGCGATAGGACTCGCCAAACGTTTTCAGAAGACTGGAGCCGGTAACTGCGCTTGTTGAGTCTTGATTGGCGTTATGTGTGGGTGTGACGAAAAGCTGTCGGCTGCGCCTGCATGATGTAAACACGCCGACGGGCGCCGACCTGCCATTAAGTAGCCACAGCCTTGCGCTAACCGGCGGTGGAAGTCGTGGCAGACGGCCCCTCAGCTCCACGGCCGGCGTCGCCCCTAGTAGTCAGCTTTGTTTGTGTTGTTAAAGCGTTGGTGACTTTCTGTTCATCTCGCCTCGGCCGTCTGGTGATTTTCTGTTTGTCTTGTCTTGTAGAACGCAGTCCGCCACAACCTGTCCCTCCACAAGTGTTTTACCAGGGTGGAAAACGTCAAGGGCGCCGTGTGGACAGTAGATGAAGTGGAATTTTGCAAACGTCGTCCGCAGAGGTCAACGGGGTATGTCTGAGGCGGTTTTGTTCCCCGAGGGCACGTCGACGGCAGCCACCTATAGATGAGATCGGCCAACTGAGGTGCCTGATATCGCTACCAGGTGGCTAAGGTCGACCTGCCGCCGGGAGGACACTCGCCGTTTTTATTCGGGCTTTTTCACACTCTGTGGCTTACTACTCCCACTGCCTGCATAGAACGCGATCCGCACCAACCTCTCCCTCCACAAGTGTTTCGTGAGGTATGAAGACGACTTTGGTTCGTACTGGACGGTCGATGATTCCGAGTTCATCAAGCGTCGCCATCTGTCACGAGGCCGTCCCAGAAAACTCGAGCTCGGCCCAGCCAAGGAGTAAGCGTCGCCCATTCCCCGCATGCCGAACCACCGCTGCCGCCGCCGCCGCCGCCGCCACCCGGGCACAGTGAGCCAACGTTCCCAGTCGCCGCCGCACTGCGGCGCCCCTGCTCAGTCGGCACAGACCGTCCTCACGGACCGAAAACGGCCGCGTGGGCCAGCCGCCAGCCCCGCCTCAGTCGCTGCTGGGCCGAGTAATGGCGCGCCTGGCTGCCTGGTACCAGCGAGCTGCGGGGTTTGATCGGCTCGGGCGTCAGGAAACCGCTCCCACGTTAGCTCACAGAGCCCCGAGACTTTGTTTGCTTGTTTGGTTGCGTGCGTTCCCGTCTGCTTCTTTTGTTTTTTGACAGTTAGAGACATTAACTAGTCATTATTCGATGCGATTTTTGTGTTCTAAAACGTTTCGAAAGTCGTTAGCAGTTTTTAACTGAGCTACACTTCCAATCCTTCCCCCGCTCGCTTATGTTGGGTGAACAACTAGCATAGCAATCAGTTAGCGATAGCTACTAACAATGAGGTTTGGAAAGGAAGCACAGCTGACAAACCAAATGAAACACTCGGTAAAGCTCGCATATTCTCAACCGTCTTGATCCTCTGTCGATTCTTCTTGCCTCTTTTTGCACCACATTTTTGTCCCACGCACTGTCCAAGCGCTTTGTCGGAAACATCTCGTGTGGTGTGTTGTCACCGATATATTCACATATCGGAGAGCCATTTTTGCCTTGTCATATTGACTTGGCCTACTGCATTTGTTCTGCTGCACGTATTTCCCTTCCAAACACGGTGTTGGCATGATATTCGTGAGTGTCTCTAGCTAGTGCGTGAAGAATACCCAAATTCTTTTCATGTAAAGGCCACGCATGCATGAACTCATCTTCCTTCCTTTTAAGCAGCGTGACTCTACACTCAGCCAAGACAAATATCATAATCCTTTTGATTGCTGCAAATTTATCAACATCAGTAGGATATGGCGCCGGTGTCTCTCATATACAAACACGTCAATACAGTAAAAATTGTCAAACTGCAACGCTAGGATTTTCGAGTCACCGTGTAAATATGTCAAAAATGTTCTCATAGTCTAATCGCAGTTGATGAAATGATTTCGGCACAAGAGTAAGCCAGTTTGTTACCTGACGTCTTCCCACGAGACAGGGATGCCATTGAGTGAGGCGGTGGGCGCGCCAGCGGAGCCGCCAGCTGGCGCGGGCGCACTGACCTTGATCGGCCGTCCCGCAGGCAGGCGCGCAGTCCCACGCTCTCCAGCAGTCCCACACTGTACGGGGACGCCATCAACGCCAGCCTACAGGTGCGCCGCCGCTCTGCCAGCCGGGACGGCTCCCCCGAGACCCGGGACGGACCGCCGCCGCCGCCTCTCACGGGCCGCTGTTTTCGAACCGGGCTCGCCCTGTTGACGGTTGATGGGAGACGGTCGTCCGGTTGATGGGAGACGGTCGTCCGTTCTCCCCAAGCGACAGTGATTGCCGTCATCATCGCATTGTCATCGTGGGGGATGGCAACGTTAATGGCCTTAGCCGGTAAATACGTAGTAAGGTAGGACCAGCGTGATCGTCTCCGCTCCGCTAAGTTTGTTTCGGAACACCGAGAGGGGCCAACGTAGCGGTTGGTTGGTTCAAACGCAGTTGTGTATTGTATACATTCCTAGAGGGTGTTCGACCTCGTATTCTAGCCGCGTCCAACACCACCCGCTTCTGGCGTTTCCCAGTCGGCGTTGGCGGACTCCACGCTGCCGTTCATGACGAACGCCGCGGACCGCCTGCGGGAGATGCGCGAGCGGGAGGCGCCGACCCTGCTGGGCATGCACCGGCGGTCACCGTCCCCCAGACAGTACCGGCACGCCAGGTACGTGCCCCGCCCAGACAGCACGGGGCTAACAGATGCCAGGTGCCTATTCTATTTACGTTCAGTTCCTATCTGCATTTCAGCCAACAGCGGGCGGCGGAAGCCGTCATATTGGACTAAAATTGCCCATACAGCGACCCTTCAAGTCAGTGACTTCCCATCGATCTGGTGGCAGGTTATATCAGACAAACAGTACTGTTGCAGACCTGTCGCAGTATGTGATTGCGTCTTGCGGCATCCTCGGCACATGTTGACCCGGCCGTTTACGCGCTGTTTGCAGCCCCAGCCCGGACCAGGACTCCCGCGGTCCAGCCATGGACATGTTCAGCCAGCCGCTGGTCAAGTCCGACTATGACGCGGCGCACAGTCCCGATCCGGACTCGCGCGACGGTGGCGCCACCCGCGAGGGAGCGGCGGCGCCCCCCATCAGTCGCGCCGAGGTACGGGGAGTCTTGGGTACAGGCGTTCATCGTGTTACGCATTACAGTGCCGCTCTTTCTGGCCTGTGATGTGATGCACACAAAACTGACGGCCTGGATAAAGTGCGCAACGTTCGAAGTTGCGTATGTACGTTGAACCGTTGGGAAACCAAAGGCGCTAGTGCTGACCAACATTTTTATGATGGATGATTGCTTCTGGCGCATCACCGTAGCAAGCGCGCTCACTTCCATCTCCGTCCAAAGCATGAGCGACACACGCCGACCGGTGACCGAGGCAATGCGCTCCGCAGAACCTGAGCATGTCGCTGATCAAGTCTGAGTACGCGGACGGCGGCCAGACGATGGCGGAGACGGCGACGGCATGAGTCCGCACGCCCCACCGGCCCAGCAATACCTGGGGCCACGCGGCGCGGCGCCTGGCGCGGCCCGTGACCAACCTGGCGCGCTCCGGTGCGGCCCGGAGGACTGCCGCCTAGCGGCGTCGATGTGTGCTATCGTGTGGCCAGGTCGTCAGTAGATGGCGCCACTGCGGCGCAAGGACGCTCTCTCGCCCTCCGCTGTCTCAAATCAAACGTATTCTCGAGGGGCGTTCAGGTGCGTGTACAATGTACAATCGCCGCCACCGCTCTGTTTGGGTTAGTTGTGTTTGTCGGGTGCGCGTGCGCACCGGGGAATGCCGCCGCGGGTTTTTGTACCTGTGTGCATGTTGTGTACAGTTGTTCAACCTCATCCTACGGGTTTCGTTGCGGAGAGCCACGTGTCAGCTCACCGCTTGCAGGCGCAGTTTCCTTGCGTTTTTTGTGTTACCACTCGCCTGTCATCAGCCACCCTCCCGAAAGCCTGCCGGTACGTCTCGCTCGGAGGCCGCCCGCAGTAGCTCCCTGTCGGTACACCCAGTACAAAGCTTGCAGAGATGCGTGTTGATGCCATAGGATCTCCCGGCCAGCCCTCCGCGCGGCTGTCCGCCGCCATGGCGGACTCCGCGCCCCACTCCAGTGCAACTCTCCATAACTAGTGTCGTTGTGACAACCATTTTTGTACGGCTCGACAGTGCAGAGGCGTCTTAGGACGCGAGGGCGTGAGGGCAGGGACAGCCGGGCTGACGGCTGCCGAGCTGGTATTTTAGCATGGTTGTTTTGGGGCCTCGACTTCGGTGGGCCGCGCTTTGAGCTTAGGAGCGGGCCGCGGCCTCGTGGCGGCTGCCGCCGGGGATGGGGCTGAGCCCCTGGCAACGCGCGCGTTAAGGGCCGCCGGCGTATCAGGGATCATAAATCGGGTCAACTCGGCCGCCCTGTGCTGCCACCCTCCGGTCGGACAACAGTGTGTCCTCCGTTCTCCGCCGCGCCCGTATGTTTGCGTCTGTCGTCGGTTCTGTTTCCCAGTATGTCTGCTTGTGCCAATGGACCTCCCGGGAGTCTCGTGCATTTTGTGTTGACACATTCCTTTCTCACGCCGCCGGCGCCGCGGCGTGCCTCACGCCGGCGCGCCGGACGCGCGCGCTGCGGCGTGCCTCGCGCCGGCGCGCTGGACGCGCGCGCCACGGCGTGCCCCACGCCGGCGCGCTGCGGCGCCTAGCATGCACATTTCGGTTTCGATGTGGCCGCGGTCGGCGCCGTTCGTTGAATGTTATGTATTGTTCACTTGACCACTGGATTCTCCGAGGCGCAACTCTCCTTGAAAGTGCTTTAGATTCCCCAAACAGCCGGTTGACAGCCAAAGACAATCAAAAACTGTGTACATTTTGTAGCTGTGTACCACCATAGCCCCCGAAATTTCCATATGGTAAGCAATAACAGTTACGCGCTAAATTGTTTCATGGCGCAATACCTCCACCTGTTGTGACCGCTGAAGCTTTTAGTTCCTAGTTCTGTCACATGTGTCAGCTCGGAGGAGATAGGTGGAGGAGTGGTTGCCCTCCATATCAGCCGCCTGTCAGTAGTACAGTGGTTAACAGTAGACAATAAATGCTTCTCCTCAAACCGTGTCTGCCTGGGCAAAACCCTTCCGAGCAGCGGAATCGTTGGAACCAAGCGCCGACTTCACCTGGATCACACGCCGAAGCTTCACCGCTACGCAGGTCAACGGACATCACGCCAGCTTCGTTTCACAAGCGGGTATGATAATACTGCATAAGACAGCAGTTATGACCAACCACGATCCTTTTTTTAAAATTTGTGAAGCTAATAGCCTTTTATACAATGAACGGTCCTTTTAAATGTTTTGTGACTGTGTATGGCACCTGCTTTGATGCGCCTCATTCAAGTTTGGTGAGTAAGAGCGGTTTAACAGAACAGTGTGTGTGTGGGGGGGGGGGGGGCAAAATGACTGCTGCAGTCGACGCGCTCCTAAAAACCCAAGTACCGTGCCACAAAAGAGCATCTGTTTCTGTGTTTCTGTACGAATCAATCGCGACGCCACACGATACCCTGCCCGCGAAACACCAGCGTCGAGCCGTCGCCCCTCACCGCATCAGTGATCCATGATCATCCGTGTATGGTCGCGACGTTCAACTTGACCAGGTCACCGCAGGCGTGGCAAGACGCCAATGCGTTCAAAATTGCGGGCGGCACATGTGAAACCAGTAACTTTGTCCGACAAGCATGCTTTCGCCTCACAACTTGTCAAAGCTGGCGGGCGAGCAGCAAAACGCTGAAATAAAAGATACCATGTCTTTCAATAAGAAGTCCCAGCTGCCCCCAGCTGATGCCATTTGTAGGCCAGCAGCTTCGCAGCTCCTGAGCAAAGGATGGCGTCTTAACTAGCAGTGAGGCGTGCAGCCCACTTTTATGCTTTCTGAAGATGGGTCAACTCCAGTGGTCTGGGGTGAACCACCTCATTCCAACACCACACCCACGAATAGCTCGGTACAAAATGAGAATAGCATGTGATCCCACGCGACCGAAACACTAGCCTGATAGGCTAAATCTTTGGAGATGTATGCATTTCTAAATAAGTATGCAAGTTTTCCCAGATGCATTGGGAAAGTCCACCTTTTACTGATGTCAGCACAGGGTTCTACTGTTTTTACAGCAAAAACTCACCAGATGACGCGAAAACCTCTGCGAAGAGCGCTTCAAAAGCAGCGCCATCCAAATCCATGCTCAAGCGATATTGGCACCATGCTGCAGGCAGGCACAACTAATGTGGGCGAACCAGGGTGCCGGCGTGTGGGTGATTGGCTGCATAAACCATCCGATTCATCATTCGAATTGTTCAAGGTAATTATTTTGAATCGTTGCATCACATGACAGCCCGTCCAGCATCGATGACGCCAAGGACATTGCTGATTACGCATCCTGTTACGTGGTACACCCGTGCGCTCCGAGGTGTCTTGCTTTGGATATCACTCCCACACGAAGTTTGTGGGGCTGAATCCTCGCGCCTTGGGACTCTCTCTCTCTCTCTCTCTCTCTCTCTCTCTCTCTCTCTCTCTCTCTCTCTCTCTCTCTCTCTCTCTCTCTCTCTCTCTCTCTCTCCCTCTCTCTCTCTCTCTCTCTCTCTCTTTCCCCATCTCCCTCTTTCTCTCTCTCGGTGTCGCTCGCCGGTGGTTTCTGGTCTACCTGCACAGCCAAAAACTTTTCTGTTTTTAATATGCGATAATTATTTATCCAACTTATTAAATAAACACGAGCATGATCCTGCTGCAAATCAGCATACTCGCATGCAAAGGGGCGTAAGCTTACATCCTTAACGCGCTCTCGTATAACTTCATGTTCACTTCTTAGATAGCATTGCCACCGATGAACCCGTGAAGCGCCATAACGCGAATTAAGCGCCCCGCAGGGACGTATTCGCTTAGTAGCCCCGGGGGAACGAAACCTCTCCGTACAAAATCTACGACATGCATTACGCGCTGGCACATGTCGGCAATTGTCCAGCATCCTGTCGGCCTGTCCAGCATCGATGACGTCAAGGACATTGCTGATTACGCATCCTGTTACGTGGCACACCCGTGCACTCTGAGGTGCCTTGCTTTGGATAGCACTCCCACACGAAGTTTGTGATGCTGTATCCTCGCGCTTTGGGACTCTCTCTCTCTCTCTCTCTCTCTCTCTCTCTCTCTTGGTGCCGCTCGCCGGTGGCTTCTGGTCTACCCGCAGGCAAAAACTTTCCTGTTTTTTATATGCGGTAATTATTTTAAAAAACGCGAGAGCATGATCCTGCTGCAAAGCAACATACTTGCATACAAAGGGGCGTAAGCTTACATCCTTAACGCACGCTCGCATAGCTTCACGTTCGCTTCTCAGATAGCGTTGCCGCCGATGAACCCGTGAAGCACCATAACGCGAATTAAACGCCCCGCAGGGACGTATTCGCTTAGTAGCCCCGGGGGAACGAAACCTCTCCGTACAAAATCTACATGCATTATGTGCGCTGGCACATGTCGGCAATTGCATGCTCTAGCTGGACTGCAAACTGGATGAAGAACACGTGCCATTTTGTGCGATGCAATAAACCTCGCACTGCGACGCTGTCGATACCAATATTTGAGTTGTGGCCCTCCCTCGCCGCAAACTCCTGCATACACCTGCCGCCTTCCACACGACTGCGCTGTTACGGTGCCCTCGCGCCGTAGCGCCGGCTGAATAACGTCGAGCCGCGTTTGCACAGCGCAGGCAAGTGCCTCAAGACAGTTCGAAACTGCCCTGTGCATTCCATTGCCCAATCCCTTGAGAACCGTCAAGACGGTGGATCAGGGCACTTGCCGACAAGCTCGGTGTTGCGCTAAGGGGTTCAGCCGGCTCATTTTCGGCCAGGCTTCGACTGTAAGTGGCGTTGGTCCAACAGCAGCGCCAGATCAAAGGCCAGGCTCCTGACATCCGACACGTCAATGAGCGCCAACTACAAAAATACGTGCATTGTTGGTTCAAACACATCCCACATTCGTAACCAACTTCCGCATGGCGCAAACGGTAGCCGACGGCGCGGAAAACCTTCAGTCTTCCGCTCGGTTACAGCCCCCACAATGCACAAGTAACTATCCGTGTAACAATGACGTCCATGGGAAGACCCGAGTATACGCCACACAGTGCCGATTACAGCTAACGTGGTAACATGGACCCATACTCATGCTAGATAACAGTCATGACGGACCCTCCAGCGCGGGATGTGTAACGGATGACCGTACGCTAACATCTTTCGGAGTGTTGGGGCACCTCGCTCGGGCGCCACCCTCCGTGCCAAGTGTCAGGTTCGCCCTCCGTGCCACGCGGCCGGCCCGCCCTCCGTGCCAAGCGGTTGGTCCGCCTTCCGTGCCACGCGGCTGGTCCGCCCTCCGTGCCACGCGGCTGGCCCGCCCTCCGTGCCAAGCGGCTGGTCCGCCTTCCGTGCCACGCGGTTGGCCCGCCCTCCGTGCCAAGCGGCTGGTCCGCCTTCCGTGCCACGCGGCTGGTCCGCCCTCCGTGCCACGCGGCTGGCCCGCCCGGCAGGCGGACCAGCCGAGCGGCACGCTCCGTCCCAGGCGGTCGGTCCGCTCCCTCTCCCGCAGCGCAGCTCAGTCACCTCCAGACACGCCGTCCCCTGATCTGTGTATTGCGCCACCGGCGCGCCGTCAGACGGTGCAGGGCTTCAGAAGCCGCAGGTCAGGTCAGGTCACGTCACGTCACGTCAGGTCACGTCAGGTCAGATCAGGGGTGGCTTCGGTACGAGTGTGAGCCCAGCACCGCGGTCAGCAGAGCAGACCTAGTCCTCCAGGAAGAAGTAGTTGCCACCCTTCTTCTGTTCGGTGTCCTGCGGGCAGAGGCGAGGATATCAGTCCAGGCAAGCGCGGCAGTGAAAGGGCCGGTATCGGTATCGGCAAACGACTGGGTGTGATGCACTTTTTCTGAACAACTGGAAAATCGGCGGCGGACTTCAATGACGCGCCCTGGAAGAACAACAAGCCTGAGAAGCACGCAACATTCATCAGCTGGGCTGACCACGCGAGCCTACATTGGCTGACCTTACTGTGCCACCAGACAAAACCCCGAGGGCGCATCCAAACGTCCATGCATCGGGCAGACTGTACTGTCTGTCATACCTTCACCGAGTGCATCTTGTTGATCCTGGGCCTGTAGTTGTTGGGATCTCTCCGGAACGTGATCTCCAGCTGCGACAGGAATTTGTTCATGCCCGCCAGCAGCGTCTGCGGCAGCCGGACCCCGCACGTCACCACAGGCCAGCAGTGTCACACAGCACCGAGCCACACGGAGAAGCGTCCGTGCCTGAGCCAGCAGACGTGTGTCGCCATTTAAGAGCGCCGCCATCGCGCCACGCTGGGTCACCGGAGGCCCAGCCCGACCCAGCCTGAGGCGCAGTCCCTCAGTCAAATCCGACGCCAGTGCTCCAGTTTGCAGTGGGCGGATGTGTGCGTCACAGACAGGTTACGCAAGCCACTGGCCAGGAGTTTGCCAATGTTTAGCAAATCCTTCCGCACATTTCACAGCAGTGGGCGCAGAGGCCAAGTCTGGCTCGAACCGGCTTCATAGGTCTATCATGACGGAAGTTAACACAAGCACAACTTGCATTTAAACGTGTAAAAGCTGCCCATGGATGGGAGAGTAAGGCAGCAGCAATACCGCATCAAAGGTAATATTGGCTGATTTTGGTATAAAATGGTTCTCATTGGTTTTACCAAGATCCGTTCTGCGATAAAAGCAACGCAATTTGCATGTCTTCCTGGAGCTTTTCTCTCTCGATCCCCGAGCGATGTCTACCCTATGCTCTACGTGACACGCATGTTGGTCAAGTTCGTGCACTACGATCTCTTGTCCACGTTTCTTTACAGAAGTCACAGAGTTCCCTCGACACTTACGACACCGGCGTGTAACTGCGATTCACCTTACCCTAACACCAGACGGCAAGCGCACACAACCGTGCCCTTCCCTCCCTCTTTCCTGACCGTGTGACGGACCGACACGTTGGCAACTTGTTCCGACGCCGAGACCATCCCGCCGGTGACGTGCTTCGGTGTCCCGTGCGTCATCCACCAATTACCATCCTGATCGCCGGTGTCCCGTGCGTCGTCCACCAATTACCATCCTGATCGCCGGTGCCCCGTGTGTCGTCCGCCAATAACCACACGGATCGTCGGTGTCCCGCGTGTCATCCGCCAATAACCAAGTGGCAACCGCAACAGCAATCACCGCCCCGAAACATGCCGCGCATGATGGAATGCCGCCCCAACTTTCTCAACCTCCAGCCGGGCGACCGGGACACAAACGAGACACAAAACGTTCACACTCAGCCTGCCGCAAACAGCACAGGCCACGTGACTCAGTACATCCCAAGCCGCCAGCAAACAAACAATGCCGTTTTCCGGCACGCGGGGGCGCGCCGTCGGCGTGCGGCCGTCCGGCGGCGGCGCGCCACCGCCGCTGAGCCGTGCGCGCCGCCTCACCTGCGGCGAGTTGGCCTCGGTCGAGATCGACGGCTGGCCCTCGAACACGATCACGCGGTCGGCCAGGTACGTCGCCATGATGAAGTCGTGCTCCACCACGAAGCCAGTCTTCTTGGCGTGCAGGATGAACCTGCCGACGCGCCGTCCACGCGGTGAGCGACGCCTTAGACGACTTAGACCTTAGACGACGACTTAGACTATCAAACGAACCCGCGTCACCAAAAGCCTGCCTGGTCGGTTGCATTGAAAGCTTTGCAAAAACGACGCAGTCATCTGCGGCCCTGAACAGCTGAACAAACTCACTATAAATAAATAGCCAACACCAAACACAGGTGGCAAACATGCTTCAGTGCGGGCCTGCCGAAGCAGCTGAGCCAACACCGAGCTACCTGTCGGTTACACGCCACCAATCTCAAGTCACCGGGGTGCAGCCGCGGCAGGCCAGCAGGCTCCTCAGCGATGACCTTCTGATGACCCCGAGGGCGACAAACGCTGCTCTGACTCAAAGCGTGCGGACGAGTGTCACACATTTGGGAATCTCAACAGCCTTGACTGAACCACTCACACGTCGCCGGCCGCTGTAGACCAACATTTCGGCGCTCTCTGTCGCAACAAGGCGCCGCCGCGACCCCCCCCCCCCCCCCCCCCCCCCACTGACCTCTTGATGACCTTGGCAGCGACCAGTCGCTGCTCGGAGTCGAGGTAGGCCGACGGCTCGTCGATCAGGTACACGTCGGCCGGCTTGCCCAGGCAGAGCGTGATGGCCACCCGCTGCAGCTCACCACCGGACAGGTTCGGCACCTCTTGGTCGATGATGTCGTCGATCTTGAGCGGCTTCATGACGTCCGTCACGAACTGGCGGTGGCGGAGGGCGCGGGCGGTCAGGTGCCGGGCGTGCCGAGCGCGCGGGCGGCACCGGGGACGAGCGGCCTCCGGCGCCACACCAGACGCGCGCTATCCACCGCAGCGCGGCCGCAAGCCGCGCACCTCGGTCGGGGCATGGTACGGCACCAGACCGGCACTAGCAGAAAATAGCCTTTAAGCAAGTAACGCCTCGACAGAGCTTCGGTTTACGGCTCATTTGCAATTGTACCAACATCAACACAGACCAGAGAACGCCGGACCCGATTCGCGGAGGCGGCTGCGCATCGCCGGCAGCGGCCGCCTCGGCGCTGCAGCAGAGGGCAGCCGACGTTCGAGTCTGTACCTGGGGGTGGATGTAGGCGTCGCGGATCTTCTCGTGCAGCAGCTGACGCACGGTGCCGGTCGACTTGGGCGAGATCTTCTGCGGCTTGTAGCTGATGTTCATCTGAGGCACGTCCTCTGAAACGGTGCGGCAGGCGGGTGTCGGAGTCGGCGCTCCGGTGAGTCTCATGCGCGGGGTGACTCCGGTAATCGGACGCAGAGCCGCTGCCTTTATATCGACGCTAGGAAGATGCGTAAGTAAGCACCGCTTTTGTCTTGAACTAACAACGCGTAGGACAATGAAAATGAAAACCTTATCCGTGCGAACCATCTATTCCATACTGGAAGCCTCCAAAAATACGCTCGACACAGCAGCCAAATGGCCATCCTACCACTGCAGTAAAGAGGGAGCTGCGTTATCGGCTCCGAGCACAGCCCTTTCCTGTATCACTAAACCTACCACCCAAAAATCCCACTCTCGTCTTTCGCCCATCCAAGGCAGCCCGTTACACCTCTCTTCCTTCCTAGCAGAGACTTCTCCTCCCTGACACACCTCTCTTCCTCCCTGACGGGTCTTTCCTCCCCCTCGACAGACCTCTTCCTCCCCGACGTAGGCCTCTCTTCCTCCCCGACGTAGGCCTCTCTTCGTCCCCGACGGAGGCCTCTCCTCCTCCCTGTCAGATCCCTCCTTTTCTCTGGCAAACACTTCTCCCCTTCCCTACGTACCGGCGCCCTCGTCCGGCGCGAGTCTGCCGGCCATCATGCGGATGAAGGTGGTCTTGCCGGTGCCGTTCTCGCCGAGCATGACCAGGATCTCGGAGTCGGTGAAGTCACCGGCGTGCACTGTCAGCTCGAACTCGCCCATCTTCTTCTTCATGTCGGGGTACGTGTAGCGGGCCATCCGCTTCACCTGAGAAGCGGTGCCGGCAGCTTGGTCAGGCGGGCCGCAGGACGGCGGCCGGCTGCCGCAAGGGCCGCACCTCGACGCACGTCGACGGCCTTCGTGGGGACACGTTTGTATCACACTGTGCCGCGCACACTTCGATGCTCCAGCATCCACAAGAGTCGAAGTAACATAGACCCGCTCTTGTCACCATGACAGCAGCTGTGAACCGACGAGAGGCACGGCAGCGAGACGGACGGGCTGCGCCGCCAGACCACGACAGGAACCACGGCATCGCAGCTCTGACGACCCACCGCCCGTCGCGGGCGCCGGAGCCGCCCGCCCGTTCCGTGGTGGGTCGGAACGCCCACCGGTCACAGGGCTGAGCCCGGTGGGCGGCGGGCCCGTCCCACCGCCACCGCGAGCTTACCTCCTCCTCCATGGCCGACTCGGACACCTTGAAGACGAGCGAGACGTCGCGGAAGCGCAGGTTCTCCGTCGGCACGTAGCCGTCCAGGAAGATGTTGATGCCTGCCGGGCAGAGGCAGCGGCGTCAGCTGTCAGCGCCACGCGTCACAAGCCGGCGGCCAGTACGTCGCGTCTCATGTGTTACGCAACGATTTCAGTCAAATAGGAGATAGTATAGACTCTGTATGACTCTTGCAGCCGACCCCCCCCCCCCGCCCTCATTCCCCTGGATATTATAGTAAAACAGACGTATACGGTAGGACAATGGCATGCATTTGGGGGCGAAACCTGAGTATTATCAGGTTTGCAGCAGTATTTTTCGCGACAACGCAGGTCTCGGTTTCTTCCGCATTTACTGTGCACTGAACTAGCTCGGTTGACTCCCTCTCAGGTCGGCCTCCGCCAGCGACGCAGGGCCAATACCGACCCGAACACTACCCGTGCAACATAAATGCCGGTGCGCGCCGGCTAGTTCCCGGTCCGGCGACGCACGGCTAGCCGCTGTTCAGAGAACGGCTGAAGGCGAGGTCCGATCGCACGCGCTACCGGCTCCCCGGAGCTGACTCGGCGGGCCGGCCAGTGACCCACCTTCCCGCACGGAGAAGGGCATGGTGACGACGCCGTAGACGCCCGGTCTGCCGTACAGGCAGCAGATGAAGTCGGAGAGGTAGTCGAGCACCGACAGGTCGTGCTCCACCACTATCACGTACCTGGCCGAGGTCACACGCAGCACGCGGCTTTAGACACCGGTCGCCGAGCTCCCAAACAAAATGGTTTCTCTTCAATCCCCACAAGTTGGCTGCTGTGCGATATGCGGAGCAGTCGCTCGCATAGCTGAGGGCTGGGTCACTTCACTGTCCCAGAGCATTGGTGTGTGACCAATCAAAGAGCATCGTGACAGCGACGCCAACCGCTTTGTGTGCAGTGGCCAGTCGCCAAAACAAAAGGCGGACCAATACGCAGCGCTCCGAAGGCGGACACCCGACAGTCGTCGGCCAGAATTACGGGACACACCAATGCCAGCGCTCACTTTTTCTCCGACACCAGGTTTCGGATGGTGATGGCGCACCGCAGACGCTGCTTGACGTCCAGGTAGGAGGAGGGCTCGTCGAACATGAAGATGTCCGCCTTCTGTATGCAGACCATGGCGCAGGCGAACCGCTGCAGCTCACCGCCCGACAGGTTCTCCACGTTGCGATTCCGCACGTTGTTCAAGTCTGCCGGCGGTGAGTGGTGAGTGGCGGCGCGCATGCGACTGTTACGTGCGGTCTAAGGCGAAAAAGCTAACATTAAGGTCGGCACTATAGCGTCTGGTCCGTTAAACCGCGTGGGAGTGGGAGCAGAAGCAGCGGGAGTTTCGGAGCGAGAGGGGAGTCCAAGATAATAGTAAGACAGCAAGCCTTCAGATCAGTCAAGTGCACCGAAGATACTACAGAAACCTCTCCATGTTTTTCCACACCCATGCCCCACCTCCCAGGGACAAAGATAATTAAACTTTCAATGCAAAAACCACGCAGGGCTTTCTTCAGCAGAGTCTTATCAAATACCTCTTAACGACAATCACACGCTACACGTCGACCCGTATAAGGTCAGCTCAGCAATGCCCTTTCTCACCAAGTGCCTCGCAGATTTCCGTTTGGTTGCCCATCTCGTCCTTCTTGTCTAGGAGCTGTTGGACAGAGCCGCGCACCGCCTTGGGAATCTGGTCCACATACTGCGGCTTGATGATGGCCTTGAGGTCGTCCTCCAGGATCTTGGTAAAGTAGTTCTGCAGCTCCGAGCCGCGGAAGTACGTCAGGATGTCCGTCCAGTCCGGCGGATCCTGCGGACGGGCCCAGCATGAGACAACCGAGGCAAGCAGTCTCGCAGTGCGGCAATGATTATACGGTGATGGAATTACAACAGACGTTCCGACCGATAAAAAACAACCCCATCGACAAACAAACGATGAACAACGACGCACATAGCCAATGCCTACAAAACCTTCGCTCTATACATATAAATAAGCCGGTGTTTGTCGAGCCTGCACAAACTGACAGCGCTCATGTCAGGGGAGACGGTCAGCGGCCCGCAGCGGCAGACTGGCGCCCACCCGGCCCGCCGCGGCGGGTCGCTCACACCGCCCCGGTGCTGCCCACTCACATTGAACCTGCCCAGGTTGGGCTTCTGTTTTCCGGCGAGGATCTTGAGCGCGGTGGACTTGCCGATACCGTTGGTGCCGACCAGGCCCAGCACCTCGCCCGGCCGCGGGATCGGCAGCCGGTGCAGCTTGAACGAGTTCTGCGAGTAACGGTGCGTCGTCTCCTTGTCCAGGTTGCTGGGCAGGTTCAGGATGTTGATGGCGTCGAACGGACATTTCTGAAAGGCGGGCGCGGATGGTGAACGACAGAAGCTGGGCGGCGGCACGTACCTGACCGACATTTGACGTCCGTTTAGGGTATCTAGCAGTGAATCAGTGTGCCCATCTAGGGCCTAGCAACAGCACCCAGGTTACCTGATCAAACACAGCTGAGACACTATGCAAAGCACATTTTTCTACTGAATGGTGTGTTTCCCACCTTTTGGCAATGCCAATGTACACGCAGTAGCATGCATTACAAAACACATAGAATCCCACCTCCAACAGAATGTAGCAAAACACGAGATCAGTGCATCAACACTAACAACAAAGCAGAAGTGAATGACAGCAGTGGGACGCACGTGAACGCCTCTCACCCACCTTAATGCAGATGCCGCAGCCAATGCACAGCTCCTCAGAGATGATGGCGATCTTGTCGTTGGGCGTCACCTCTATGCACAGCTTGCCCATGCGCACCACTGGGCAGGAGCGCTTGCACTCCTGCCGACACCGCTTGGGCTTGCATCTGTCGGCGTTGACGACGGCGATACGGGTGAGCTTGCTGCCCTCGTCCTCGCCGCGTCGCTTGGACATGACTGCCGTGGGTCACCCTGCCGGGCGGGGCACGCGGCCGGTTACTCGCGGAAACAGTGACCTCTAGTGCCGAGTTATGTCTATAGACACAGCTGAGGGTTACTCCGGAAACGGCGACCACAGATGTCTACAGTGTCTACTATGTCCACAGACACAGGAGAGACGCAGGAGAGGAGTTCCCCGCACGTTGACTTTTGAGGCCACTTGATGCCAAGTGAACTACGCACATGACTGACTGCCCAACCGACCCTATGTTTCTGTGACTTAACAGGAGGTGGAGATGAATGGTCCTATCACAGGTCTTGTATGAATAATCCCCCTCCATTTATGATTTTCAAACTACTACAAAAACAAGATCCCAAAATTCATTGAAAATCCATCTGCAATCATATCTCCATACATGCCCATGTAATCTGATGAAGCAAACTAAAATAATGTTGATTATTTTGTCATCTTTGTTGAACCAAGCCATTGTTCAACATTCCAAAGTGTTTTTTTATTTCAACATTCTAGCATCTTAGAATGACATACAAAATTGTATGATTCATAGTTTGAATGCCTCCCCCCCCAGAAATTAATACTAATACTAAACTGATATAAATCTGATAGCCTTTATCCAATTAAAAATAAAAACACATACAAATGTAGTATTGGCCACTCCTATTGTTTTCCTAATCCACCACTCACATATTAATGTAAAACATGTTCTTAGTCGCCATACACCATCAAAACCCAAGCCCACTAGATCACCTGTACAGCTGCATGCTGAGAAAGTAAAGCAGGATAATATAACTATTGGTCAAAATTGTTTCCTCTTTCATTTTGAGTGATTCAGGTGAGCTTGGTACTGCCAAATATCATGCATGAGGTGGTTTTTCAGGTAATGCAGGTATGATGATAATGATAACCATGACCCATAAACATAGATCATTCCCACACATTTCTTTAAACCTTGATTACCAACATGGCTCATTCAATGATATAGTTTGAGGACTGTATACCATCAACCTGTTATTTACATCACCCCAGTTCTTGTTTACCTATTGGCATGCTAATATTTCTAATGTTAAAGACATTGTATTATCCTAAATAGCATTTAGGTTATACAGTAACATAAAACCTATCATCCAGCTCAATTTCACAATTTACTGTGAACCTAGGCTGCAATCCACACATTATGTCAAAACCTATCAAGCATTCTGCCAAGTCTCAGAACAATAATTTTTCAGTATGCGCACTATATGTTTGACAGTCTGAGCTTGGGACATAACCTCCATCAATTTCAGTACATAGAAAGTCAATGTTGCAAAGAGTCATGACATTGTCAGGTAAATCAGAGGAAAATAACCCCAAACCTTCTTTCAGCAAGTATCTTTAAAAAAGCATTATTGCCAGGCCAGCATTTGATGCAAATCTGCCCAAGATTCAGCGCATTGATAGCTGTCAAGTGGTCAGTGCAGAGGATGGTTTTATGAAGACTGGCTCTGAGCCTCATGATGGACATTACACTTGCAGTAATCATGCAGGACTTTCCATTCATACAGCACATTTTTGTGTCTCTTTTAAATCTTACATATCAATACCACCAAACAAAACGCCACTCCATCTACTAGCCCAAATTCAGCCACGTTAGCGAAAGGACAGAAATATACGCACAATCTAACATACGCAACGGATCAGCATATGGCCAAAACAAAAGCATGTTCCAACCTACTCTGACGATCTGATGCATTTAAGGATAAGAGCACCGATTGGTTCTTCAATGCAGCTACGTCTTACTGATACACAAACATGGAAAACGACAAACAAATGCAAAATATTCCGCGACTAAGGAGAAAGTACCTTTCGACGAAGGGTGAGGGCAGAAAGAGAACACCCAACCGGCATCAGGAGACACCCGTGAGCAAACCAAATACTTACAAGGGAAATATATGATGCCATGTACGATTGTTCCTACGCTTTGATTCGTTAAACATTTTTTTATGACGTCATTAAATAAAGTTTTGTCCTTCGTGGCTTGAAACATGGAGGCGTGGATGGTTGGAGGTCGGGCGATGTGCGCTGTTTTTGTAGCAGTTTTTGATGACTTCTCTATGTTTGTTTGGGCAGAAGGAAATATGTTAAAAAAATTTAAATTCACCTTAAAAACTACTTCTTTCTTTTTATAGCTGCCATTTCTCACAAAGTACCATATTTTTGCCCAAAAGTAGATATACCAATGGTTCTAGATTAATGTTTACCATAACAAGCGGCCAAACCTGCGCAATAAATACAGTGGTTGGGCGTAAACAAAACCAAAACTAATGAAAACAGCATTCCTTCCTCAGTTATCACGCTGTACAGCCGACGGGGTCAAGGTGGGTGGCGCGGTTGTTCTTTTGAGTACTGGAAAGGAAACCAAGACGGCTTACAATGTATATGCCATGACATATATGCCAGGCAGAGTATGACGACGCAAATTTTATAAAACAGTGCCCAGTTAAAGGCAGTAACTCTGGTAACCTACAAAATGTTTGACTACCGGAATTCTACGCAGTTTTGGAGGGCTTTTTGTAAACCTGCCGGTCATTTATATCCCACAGAAGCTTTAATAGGCCAGTGTGCTGTCTGATGGAATGGCCAGGATGGCTAGATATGTGTATTTGACCTCTTTTCTGATTGCATGTTTATGACATGCTATGGCTGTCCAGATACTGCATTTCCAATGGCTGACTCAGACTGGGACAGTGAGCCAGAACAGGAGCAAGCGCAATATTCAGCTCCATTAAAGAAGCCAAATGGTTAGTAATCCATTATTTGTTTTTAGAGCCCTGCTTTTATACATTTGCTTTTTTGCACATGTATTCTGCTACAGTATATTTGTGCCTTGGGGCCTATGGGTGTTGTGCAATGATTGCAGAATTACCAGAAAATTTGTAGCATTATCAAGGGTTATTTAACAAAATGTGTCAACATGACATTGCCTCAGGGTGACCTCTAATTCACCTCAGTCCAGGGAAAAGGGAGCAGAGGAAATTTACAAAATTATAAAAGTTTGCCATCCCATCCAGCCTGCTTTGTTCCTAGTCAAAGCCCCATTTATGCCATACAACAGTGACTCTGTGCTTGCTTACAACCTGCCCTGCCCTGTTCCAGGCCCACACCAACCAGGAAAGAGGAGGGGGAATCACCAGTCAAGGGATGTGTCCCGGGCATCAGTCCAGGAGCCGGTGGGGGTACCACCAGTGGGGGATGGTCTGGCACCCAGTGCCTCCCCAAGGGGCGGTCCACAGCGCCAGCCCCAGCCCAAACAACGCCAGGCTGAGTCCAGACAGAGGCCAGTGAAGGCCGACCCTGAAACGGAGCCACCATTCAACTTCAGGTGGGTGTTGGTGATGGAGGCAGTGGTGTGTGGCCAGACAGGGGTTTGCTCTGGGATGACATTCCATATAGCAGTCAGGCATACCTAGATATGACATGTTGAGCTTTTGAGTATTTCTTTGAGTATGCACCCTCAGCATTTTATTCAAAGTGATGTTTAAAATTATTGTTAATTTTTGAAGTCCTGGACTGCACTCACTCATTTGCATTTTCTATGAGACTGGTATCCTCCTGACAGTACTGAGTTGACCACTGGTCTGCATGTCCGACCGAGATTGACCTAGTATCCCACAAGTTGAGTGTGAGCTGACCTGGTCAAGGCTTGCTTGCCAGACCAGAGACGGACGACGGAGGGGCGAGGGTGGCGCGGCCGAAGCCCCGGCCACCGGGCCGGCAACAGCGGTCCGAGTATACTGTCTCCTCCGACCACGCCGACCACCAGTCATCAGCCGCCGACGCCGGTGAGTTCACAGCGGGGATCTCAGTCAGTCGCGCCGACGCAGCGGCCTGGGCCGCGCGTCAGCTGAGAACGCAAGCCTGGGCAGTGCGCGTCTGCCAGCCGACTTGTTTGACTGCTGGGAGGAGGCACGTCAAGCACGCCTGCGTCGCTTTCGCTGTCGCCTCATGTTAAGTTCACGCACAGCTCCTGAGGTAGTCCTCAAGACCTGCCCCCACTCCTGGGTTAATTTGAACCGATCCGCTCAGCAGCCGCGCTCCCCAGTCCTGACGCGGGGGCTGTGTCAAACTTTGTGTGAACCCCGGCGCCGTCCCCCTCCCCTCTGACCAGCCGTCGTCCTCAGGACGTGACCCTGACCCGGGGGCTGTGTTGGACCTCTCCCCCGGCGCCCGGCCCCGCTCCGCCCAGCCGCTGCCCCTGCTTCACACCGAGCAGGGCGGCCCCGTCCGATACACCGCCAGTCAGGGTGAGCGGCGGCCATACCGGTCCTATAGCCTGTATCAACTGTGGCGGCTCTGACCCGCGCGCGGCTGGCGTGACTGCGGGATTTGGAGGTTTGCGGTGTCCTACGCCATGCCGCGTGTTGTGCCGCGTTTCAGCGATGTGGATAACTCGCATGACGCGTATCGCCGTGCGATGTGGAGTCGTGGTACATGAGTCGCAGTAATTATGGTGATCTGCGGCGGACGTAAGCGTCGACCGTATTGAAGTCATGCCGAGCAGCTGTGTGTGCGACCACTTGAGTGGGATGGGAGGGATATTTTTCTTGCTTGCCTTTTAGAATGTTCATGAAAATATTAAGGTGTCGAGGATGTTTACGAGATGTCGCTTTGACCCTTTTAATTGCGATCTGTCTCCTCCTCCACCCCACAATTTTAGAGACGTGGCCACACCCATGCAGCTGGCTGCTTCCATGACATGTCAGTGTTTTTCAGACAATTTTTGGCGAGGGCTACAGACCTACCCGCGATCTGCCGCCCTCTCCGTCCCACCTTCATCCGCCCGTCCTCTCCGGCCTGTCCCGTGCGTATCGCCGTCCGCCGGCGTGCCGGTACCGTGTCTGTTCGCTGACGGCGGCTTGCGTGGCGCTCATCGTTGAACTAGCGCGACAAACGTGGCCAGTGACTGCCATTTGTGGGCTTAGAGCAATAGGTTGCCGCCTTTTAAAGCAACGGGCGTGTTTGGACCGCAAATATAACTTATCGCCGCCGTCAGCTGTTTTGGGTCCGTGCGCGCTCATCACTGACCGGGCACGATGATGCCCATTTACGCATGCTGCCACGTGTGCTGTACATGTTTTGACGCCGCAGATATGGGTCTGAAGCCCATCAACTCAGCGGGCTCCATCCGGCGCGGCTCGTCCAGCCTCCGCCCCGCGACGCCGCTGGTCGAGGAACCGTTGTCAGAGTGTGGAGCACTGGCGGTCACCGCCACCAGCTACCATTTCTCGAAGGGGGACTCCAGGTGCGCCCTGATGCTGCTGGGGCGGCGGCTTGTAAGCCGAGTTTTGCCACTGCATTTCAACCACCGGGCTTCAAATCTAGGATCTACTTTGATCACGGGAGCTTCTAACATCGGTTATTTTCTGGTATTGCTACTTGAAACCTGAGCTCCGTCCCCCATATCTGAGCAAAAAGCATCAGTTCTGTCATCATCGGTCTTGATTCAAGCTTGCACTCAGCCGCCATTGATCATGATCATGCCATCGCTCCGATCTACCCCACGTCCGCGTGCCTCAGCTGTTCCCCGAGCGATGTTGCACCGTCCCTCTCGCGTGTCCAAGTGTCAGCAGCGTTGGCCGCTATCTTCCGCGCAGGACGCTGAGCCTCGGTGACCAGAACCCGTCCCGTCTGCTGAAGCTGTACGGTCGGCCTTCGCACCAGCAGCTGATGCGCATGTGGGCCGAGCTGTTCTACGTGGTCTCGGTCCCCGTCCTGCTGGTCACCACTTTCCTCTACTCACTGCTCAGGTCAGGGCACGGCTGGCGGGGGGGGGGGGGGGCAACGCGGCGCGGCGCCGTGTTGCGGTCCCCATTGGAATCCCGTTGTGTTTAGTGCTGCTATGAAAAAGAGATACGACCTTATGCCCCCGCCGCACAGAAGTGCCTGAACCAGGTACAGTTGTTAGTACTTCAGCGCGGGTCCCTCCGCCGCTCTCCACGTGGTGGCACGCTCCGTGTCCGTGCGGCAGGTTTGTTCTGGAGGCGGTGGTGCGGCCGGTCGCCGTCGGACCCGTCCAGCTGCTGGGAGACCACCTGCTGAAGCCGGCCGTCGTGGCGCTGCACGACTCCCTCCTGCTGCCGGCCGCCACCCTGCTGGCCAACCTGGCCGCCGCGCTGGTGCTGGTGGTGCGGCCGCTGGCCCAGCTGCTGGAGGAGCTAGTGCGTCCGCTGGCCGCGCTGCTGGGCTCTGTCCGGCTGGTGCAGGTCAGCTACGGACAGCCGCCGCCGGCAGGCCACACTCAGCTAGTCTGAGACGGGCGCGGAGCGAAGCGGGACAGTAGGGAGGTTGGCTTACGCCAGCAGAGAGTGGAGCGCCACGCGAGAATGTTTCAGGACCCAGGAAAACATCAGGATGATGTTTTCAAAGCATGCCAGGTTAACCTGTCTTTCCTCCGATGCAACGCTGTGTAGTCTTCATGACTTGACTCAACGCAGCACAACCCGACAGGACGGGACGTTGTGGACGCAGAGTCATCTAGCGGACTCAAGGCTTATCAGAGGTGCGCCAACTGTCCGTGACCGACGCGATGACTCGCGTCGTTTAGCGCCGGCGATTAATGACCACGCCGAGACGCACCATGTGGTCCGAGTAATCGCAAATCACTGTGGTCCGAGTAATCGCAAATCACTCGTAATGTGCCTTGATATTATCAGATTTGGGTCAACTACATGGGTTGCGAGGATCCTTGTGAAATGCCTGATGTTGTGTAAGCGTGGACGATGCTTTGCATAAGAATGACCGGAAATCAAATATGGTGTTGTGCGCGCAGCACCG